TATATATGTAAAGTGAGTCATCCTCCAAGAATCTGAGAACACTACAACTGACTGCCCCTGATCATCACACAACACTTGTAAAACACGACCAAGTCACCTTACTGCTCAACTCACCAAGTGTCTCTGCCTATAGCTGGATAGAGGGGGGGGGGGTCTGTAGCTTGACAGAGACTGTCTCGCCCTGCCGGCCGACAGCCTCCCTGCGAGGGCCATCTCCTCTGCTCTGCTGACTGCCGTTCTTCTCTGTCGTTAATGCTCAATGCTCTCGAATCGATCGTTCTCCGAGTATATATTGGGGAGCCTAGTAACTAACTCCGCCCACAAGTAGATAGCCTTAGGCACTCTACCAAGCCACTCCTTAAACGTCGGCATGTTTGAAGGCTACCAGGCTCCAATTATAAGATTAGTAGAAGTAAGGTGAAATTCGCATGATCTGACCTCAGGTCACTTGGGGTCATTAACGGTTAGAGGTGTGAGATCTCCGGCCGACAACTTGGCGCCTTCTCCAATTCCTGTCTCTGACTCATATTCTATATATATTTTAAATAAACTAAACCAAACACTTTTACAGTGTTACAATCCCTGGAAAGGGCTGGGGCAAACATGCTCTCATTGAGGTGCTCAAGATTGTTCCCCCCCCCCCTCAGGAAAACCTGAACCACCATTGAAGCCTCGCGCCACTCAAGCGTGCAGGAAAGACAGAAGGAATGCCAAGCCTCCAAAGCAAACACAGGACAGTCCGCCAGCCAGGACGATTCCGGAACCTCTTAATGGACCCAGAAAGGGAACGCTGGCCCAAACCTGAAAGAAGACTTATGCCATAAGCGAGGCATAATTCGGGTTGCGCAGGAGGTAAGCCAGTAGGGCTGCCCGTACCTCAGACAGTAGGATGCCGTAAGCCGAAAACCTCCAGAAAGACGGAACCGACGCACTCGGAGGGACACGGACATGGGGAGGGGCAGACACCAAATCCAATTTGTATGCAGAGGGGGAGGGGAAGAGAACCCCACTCCTTGAAACAGTAAGCCTTGCTCAGAGGGCAGAAAAACCCAGGCAGAATCCAACAGGGCCGAAGGTCCCCAAGTCAGCCCCTCTCCCGCCCCAGGATCCTCCACCGCAGGACCCGGGGGCCAAGTCATCCCCCAAAGCACGGGCCTCAAAAGAAGAGGCTGGGGCAGCCAAATAAGCCAGACGGAAGGGGGCCCCCTAGTCAGACCCGGAGGCTTCATCAGGAAGATTGGACTCGCATGTCTCCGTCACCACACCGGAAAGGGCATCCCCGAGACTGCCCAAGTTTCAAGACCAACTAAACCCTGCTCCGACTCCGAAACCCTTAGACGTTTCGGGGCCGGCAGCAGGTAGGGAGGGCCAGAATGCACCAGAACCAGACCAGACCAGTTCTATCCATTTGTTCGACTATTTGTAGCAATTATCACCAGAATAGGGGTTTGTTTTGGGACGCTTGCCTTTCTGGGTGCCTGACCCGATCGATGGCATACAGAATGCTTCCAACAACACGGGGGTTTCTATGGGCCATTGCTCCCCATGCCTCTCTGAGTGGGCTAGGTTCTGGCTCGTGGTCCCTGGTAGGCCCACAGAACTTCATACACATGACTGATGCCAAAGTCTGACATTGGCATATCAGCCTGGATAGCTCCGGGAAGCTGACGGGGCTCCCCCCGGAAAAGGCTTTTGATAGTCCCACACAAGAGGCTGTTCTGGAAACTAGAACATGCGGGAGGGGTGACAGGGAGACTTCTGACATGGAGGAAAAGTTTCTAACTGACGGATGAGGGCAGTAATCAGAGACAATATATCTACTGGAGGAGTGTTACTAGCGGAGTACGACAGGATTCAGTTCTTGCACCAGTAATGTTCGTATATATAAGCTATCTACCAGAAGGAATACAGAATTATATGAACATGTTTGCAAATGATGCTAAAATATTGGAGAAGATAGGAGATGCAGACGAATGTAATCCCCTTCAAATTGATCTAGATAAAATAAGAGTGTGGAGTGTCAAGTGGCAAATGAAATTCAATGTGAATAAATACCATGTTATGAAATGGAGAATCAGGAAAAATAAACCCACACAATTTGCAAATTATTTGATAAGGAATTACAGAACTCTAATAAAGAATGAGACCTAGGGGTGGTTTTGGATAGTAAGCTGTCACCAGAGGAACACACAAAGAACATTGTGAAAGGAAAGTATGTGTCACTTTCCAACTTCAGACTTGCTTTGGTGGTGAAACTTGCACGTGGATGGTGAAATACTAAAGAAACTGTTCATGACTTTTGTAAGACCAAAATTGGAATATGCAGCAGTTGTATAGTGCCCATATCTCAAGAAGCATATCAATAAACTGGAAAAGGTGCAGCGGCACACTACAAAATGGCTTTTGTATCTGAAAAACAAGAGAAAATCCGTAGGAGCAGTGATGAGGGTTGAAACCTATGTGGTAGATGTTCTCCACACACGCTTCTAGCAACTAAACCACAACATGGTATAAGGATTACAACCTGGAGTTCTACTGAACCCACAAGGATTTCCTGAGGCTTCCACTGAAGCTGGAACAGGATTTTCACACAATCCCCTAATCGCTAGAAGTGTGTGCGTGGGAACACCCACTGCATAGGTTCAAACCCTCATCACTGCTCCTGTGGATTTTCTCATTGATGCAGTATCGTTAGTGTGATTACTCTGTGTATTGAGAAAAAAGCTTCAGAGGCAAGGGAGGGAGCAAAGCATTGGCAAAGAATTCTAGACCAGTTGCACTAATGTTCCACATAATAAAAGTATTTGAGAGAGTGACCAGGAGTCAGGTCACCAGTTTCATGGAGACCAATGAACTCCACAACCCAGGCCAACATGGATTCAGAGTGGAAAGATCATGCCTCTCACAGCTACTTGACCACTACGACAAACGGAGACATTAACCCTCGTGTTACTCAGGGCTAATTAGCATTTGTCACCCACAGGCGCATACCAAAAAACAAAAACAAAGGAAGAACAAGTCATAGATGACAGAGCCACAATTGCATTGGGGGGATTGTGTGAAATTCCTGCTCCAGCTTCAGTAAAAGCATCAGGAAATCCTTGTGGGTTCAGTAGAACTCCAGGTTGTAATCCTTGTACCATGTCGTGGTCTTGTCGCTAGAAGCATGTGCATGGGATTATCACATTAGTAATTGACCAAATTGACAGAGTTTTCTGAAACCAGCAACTTCAAGAACAAGAGGACACAGATTCAAACTAAGGAAACAAAGGTGCCCCCAAAAAATTTGAAAGTTTTCTTATGCAGAGTAGTAGATGGTTGGAACAAGTTAAGTGAGAAGGTGGTGAAGGCCAAAGCTGTCAGAAGTTTCGAAGAGTTATATGACAGAGTATTGGGAAAATGGGACACCACGAGCGTAGCTCTCCTGTAATTACACTTGGGTAATTACGTTAGGTTTGACCTCATCGAGACCTTTTAAAATGCTGAACAATTTCGAAGACATTAACATTTTAGTCCGGGCATGACGCAGCATTGCGTCATCCGTTTACTGTCGGTAATCTCGGGCATGATGCAGCATTGCGTCATCCACTAAAATAATTGCCAAAAATCAGGTTTTTATCCAATTTTTTGGGGACTGTTTGGTAACTGTCAACAAGCAGAATGCAATCTGTGACTACAATACAAACAGGAAAGGTGTTGATCACTTTGATCAAATGACCAAATATTATCACTTCATAAGGAAAACTCACAAATGGGCGAAGAAAATGACCATCTATTTTGTGCAAATGGCTATCTACAATGCTTATGTGATGTACAACTACTACACAAAAAATACTAAACTATAATACTAAATATACTAAAATACTAAATACTAAACATTTGTGGGCAGGAATTGGGAGTGTAGCTGGAAGGCATCCGGGCGCTCACTCGCGGTTAACGCGTGGCCCGTCTTCAACTCGTCGGCGGGTAGAGCATGACCAGGTTTTTTATTTTATATGCTAATGTTCCTCTAGAGAATTCTATTGCGAACCCATTGATACCAAAATGAAAGACCTAGGACGAAAATTGAGGTGACCAGAGTGAAAAGAGTGAACACATTTTATCGCTTTTGCGCGCTCCTGGGTAACTCGTTCACATTTTCTCTGTTTGCTGCAGGTAATTAGCCGGGCTTTTGGAGTTTATATGCATTTAGTGCTGTAGAGAATTCTATTGCGAACACAATGATACCAAATTTAATCTCGTAGGACGAGAATTAAGATGACTAAGTTGAAGAGAGTATACACTTTTCAGAATTAACGCGCGCTCCCGTGAAACTCTGGGACCCAAATCACACAGTTGAGGGGTGGCGGGCGGGGCACGCCAAAGTGTTAATCCAGACCACTTCTTTAAAGATCCAGTGTAACTTACAGTGGGTAACAGCTTTAATCCTGAGAAGCCACAATATAAAATAGACCTCAAGAATTTCATCACTCAGTAGGTAATGAATTGTCCGCCTGCCAAACCCGTAAATGCCAAGACGGTGTTCAAGTTCAAAATCGAACTGGAAAAAATCCTCAGAAATTATGGAGGTACCTTTGATATGCTTCTCTCTTCCTGTTCCTGTCGAAGCCAATATAAAATGTCCTGAATTTATTTATGAAAAGACTCACTGTGGAAGGAAGAACAGAGTTACAGTAGTGCTTTTACCTGAAGCCATATCCAATTACATTACTTAATATATAACAATTAGTATCAACTTTGCCAGTTAAATTTACTCATTTTAATTCTTCATAATGTCATGTAGTCTTTCAGTAAATTTCCTAGTGTATTAGGAATAGGAGGACCTTTGACAAACCACCATCTTCCTGTCCTCGTTGAGGCCATGGACAGTGGCCCCTCAGGTAAATTCAAGTAGATTTTGTATATATACAGTACAGAATATAGTTTTATATAAAAGTACATCTTAAGATCAAGAATACAGTACATTATAGATTTTGTTAAATTTTAGTTCCTCTTTTTAGGGCTTCTGGATGTATTTCGAAATAAACTCCAGTGTACTGTGGCGTCCCCTCCTGTTTTGGTATCGGTGAGATTCACATATATTCTCTCCGAATGGCCTCACACACTGTGGACACAACAGCCACCAGATTTTGATGCCACACTAACGGAGGTTGGCTTTTCCGATTTGGGAAAGTTGCCATTTGGGGCACTAAGTGATCCAGTCAGGTACGTTTATGTGAAATATTGTTAAAATATTTTCAGTATTTTCTGCGTATAAATTAGTTTACCTGGTTTATATTTTGTTTTGTTTAATATAATGTACTTTTCTGTGGGGAGCCCCTGCGACTCCCTGGAGCTATCGGGCTAATATCCGATACATTAGACCAGGGCTTTAGTCAATGTAGTTTAGCTTACTGGGGATCACGAGCCAGAACCTGGCACCCTCAGAGAGGCACAGGGAGCAATCGCCCTGGAAAATCCCCCCTGTGGATGCAGGTTTTCCTTTTCTGCCATCGACTGGGGTTAGCCTACCAGAAAGGTAAGCATAACAAAACAGACCCCACATGCTAAGAAAATTGCAACTGAAAATCAAAGGCAGAACTCCCTCAATTCCCAAGGAAACAAGCAAATGTCACACCACGCCATTGTGTCGCTCGTCTGCACAACCCTCTCCTCCCCTCCCTGGGAGAAGGAGGGGGGAGCCCCAGACCCCCCTTGTCACCTACCTAGCAACTCCAGTTCATTGGCTTAAGCGATCCAGGGATGGACATCATCTCTGGCCTCGGATTCCAAGCAGAGTTTACCTTCATGATATCCTCTGCGGTGTCATTGTGTGTGGTGACCAGGTGTCCTCAAGAGTACCGGGGCTGTATGCGCTTAGGGGCATCCTTCCTTAAGTGCCTTGTGAGTACAGTACTGCATTTGCATGTTAGGGTTCTCTTCCCTGGTGCGTTCGGGAACTAATTCCGTAGGGGTTTTTGCTGCTCGGCATTTACCCCACACTTGGGGCCAGCTGGGGTTTTGTGGCCCCTTGTTTAGCCTTGGATAGAGATTGGTATCGTGTTGTTTGGGGCGTCAAGGTGTTGTGTAGCTTGCCTACATACACGGCAGCCGGTTCCCGTTTCCTCTGGGGACATTGTACTTTTGCAGGGTTTTTCTTATTTGTTTTCCTTGCCTGGTGGGGGTCTGCCGAGGTGTGGTTATAGTTTCCCTTATAATATATTGGTGGCCCTTCGCCAGGCCCCCGTGATTGTACATGTGGCAGTGGTTTCAGAGTTTTGATCTCCACTCCCTCCCATGTTAGCTTTGGGTATTAACCGGTTAGCAACACATTGCTTTCCCCAGGCTTCCTGTAACAGTCAGTGTACGGGCCCCTGGAAAATCCTGTCAAAGCTCGGTGGACCTATGGATATGTCTTCTGAGTTCCAGCTCACCTCGTGCAGGTTTCAAGGTTGCTGTGTGCCCTTGTCTCGGGGGGGGGGTGACGGTCACCACTTTTGCCTCCGTCATGCTGCCTGTTGGGTCAACGAAACCTGGATGGGAGAGGGAAGGTTCACTGTTGGCTCACGCCTGGTCCTGCGATCCATGGGCATTCGGGTCTTATCCTCCGGGGGAGTTTGGGGCTAACATGGCGGGCTTCTTCCCCTGCACTGTCGGGTTATCTTGGAGTGGGTGCTCTTGGGCATGGTAGACTCGACCCCATCCCTTTTGTGGGGGGTGGGGGTTCCCGCCTATTCCAGTGCCAAAACAGGACTGTGCGGACCTGTGGTTCATTCTAGACTTGTCCTGTGTCCCTGGATTCCTTGCCCCTCCTTTCGGATGACCGCTCTGTCTCGGGTCCGGCTTCTGTTGGAACCGGATGGAGTCCCTGGATCTCAGGGGCGTGTATTGGCATGTTTCCATTCAACCGGGGTTCAGGGACTGGATAGATTCATGGTGGAGGGTCTGGCTTACCACTTTTGTTGCCTTTTTGACCTGCTTGCTTCTGTTAGGGAGTTCAGGTTCTGGCTTACCTCGACGACTGGCTGGTGTGGGCTCCCAGCCAGTTCGCGTGTCTGCTCACCAGGAATATGGTTCTTTCCCAGCTTGCCGGGTTTGGGTTCATGGTGATCTGGAGGAAGTCCCTTTTGGTTCCCTCTCAGGTTCGGACTTGGCTGGGTATGGTGTGGGATTCTCAGATTACTTCCTTGTCTCTCCCTCCTGCGACGCTGTTACACCAGCGGTCTCGCCTCCGGCTGTTTTTGGAGGGCACCCGGGTCACACGTCGGTTGTTTAAGTGGCTGTGCGGGAGCCTGAACTTCGCTATGCTGGTCTACCCATCGGGTTGGATCCAGCTTTGGCGGATGTTCTAGTTTCTTCAGGGTCGTCCCTTCTGCTGCTCTTGCAATCGATGGGTTCAGATCCTGGGAGCCTTGCGTCGGCTGCTGCATCGCTGGCTTCCTCTGCGGGTTTTTCGGGGTTCTGTGCCATGGTACTTCCCTGAGTTCTCGCTTGATGTGTTCACGGATGCCTCGTTTCTCGGCTGGGGTTTTGTGACAAGTGCTCACCAGGCCGGCCAGGGTCGGTGGGGTCCGTCCTTCTTTCGAGCTCACAGCATGGCGAGGGAATTTGTGGCGGTGTGGCATTCGCTTCAGAGGATTTGGGTCGCTCGATCAGCAATGATCCGGCTCCTTTCAGACTGCTCCCCGGTGGTTCATTGCCTGAACCGCAGGGGTTTGATGCGGTCCTTGGTTCTTTGGGGCTGGTCGCTTCGTGTGACTCGTCTGCTGAGCTTTCGGAGTTTGGCTCTCCTGGCGGTTCATGTTCAGGGGGCGTCAAACGTCCTGGCGGATGGCCTGTCTCAGTTCATTCCCCTTTTCACGGAATGGACGGTCGACGCCGACTCGTTCAGTTGGGTCTGTCGGATGTACGGGCGCCCAGAGGTGGACCTATTCGCATCGGCGTGTTCCAGGTGTCTTCCAGTTTATGAGGCGACCTTCCCAACTGCGAGGCCGTCAGGGTCGATGCCTTTTGGCTGGAATGGTCGAGGGCGGAGTCACCTGTACCTCTTACCTCTGTACAACTGGTCCGGTTGTTGCTCTGGATCCTGGCTCGGTTGGAGACTTGCCAAGGGAGAGTAGTCCTGTTGGCTCCTTGGTGGCCTGGCAAGCCTTGGTTTCAGGCTCTTCGTGCTCGATGTCCGAACCCAAGAGTCTTCCCGCGGCTCCGCCTCTTTCAGCAGATCGGTCCGGTCCGTTACGTGGCTGGTTCAATCTTCTCTTTCACTCTTCGCGTCTGGTCTCTTTGACGCGGGTGTATCGCCACTTGTATGGTGACCAGGTGGCTTAGTTGATGGTGTCCCACGTGCGAGTTTTGTCTAAACGGCAGTATAAAATTTCCTGGTGATCCTTTCGGTAATTTTTTGTCTCTTCGTAGATTGTCTTCAATTCTGATCAGGTTTTGTCCTTTCTCTCTTAGTTGTTTCAGGACCATCATCTTGTGCCAAATACTGTCGTCTTATTTCATGCGGCGCTGGCGGTCCCGCTGCAGCTTGCTTTCGCGGTGGATGTCTCTTCTGCTCCGTTCCGCAAGCGTTCTCGGACGTTGTTTCACCTCCGGCCTGCTCACGTGCCGCCTGAGCCGTCCTGGTCGGTGGACCGGGTTCTCTCTTTTTCTCTATTCTCCTCGGTTTGTGGTGGCCCCCTCAGTTCAACGACTGTTTTCAAAGACACTCTTTCTTGAGGGCATTGGCCTCTGGGGGTCGGATTGGGGAGCTTCATGCTCTCCTCCGGCGCAGGGGTTTCTGCTCTTTCGGTCCTGGTGGTTGTTTCGTTCATTTGCAACCTTCTCCTTTTATGGTGAAGAATCGGTCTGCTGCTTTCCAAAGGGGTCCTTGAGTTGTTGATGCTTGGTTGGTTCGGCCGGGGTGCATCATGTTTTGTGTCCAGTTGCGGCTCTTTGCCGGTATCTGCAGCCACAGCCTCAGTGGTAGGGGACACGCTTTGGGTGGATCCGGTTTCCCTTCTTCCCTGTTCCAAGGTGCAGTTCTCGCAGGTTGTCCACAGTATTATTCGGTCCAGCCAACCTGCGGTCTATCCCAGTGCCCACGACGTTTGTCAGTTCGCGGCTTTGGCTGCTGTTTTGGGGAATATGTCCTGGGCTGACATTTGGGCACGGGGCTTATGGAGGTCGAACAGGTTCCTGGCTGCACGGTGTCTCGTTTATATTCCTGGGCCTTCTCGGGTGTGTGTAGCCTTGGGTTGCAGGTTGCAGCCATTTGTCTCGACTTCAAGTTGAGGAGCGAGAGATGACCACCTCCCAGGTAAGTCACTCTTTTTCTTTGTCTTTGGTTAGGTATCTCCAGGGAGCCGAAGGGGCTCTCCACAGAAAACCAGCGTTGAAAGTAATGAAACGCCATTTTCTGGGCGAGACCCAGAGGCTCCGCGGCATCCCTACCTCCCTCCAGTCGACGGTTTTTCGCATTTTTTGATGCTCAGCCTCTGAACTGAGGAGAGTTGTCGGCGTGGAGGTCTGGGACCCGGAGGGAGAGTTGTGCAGACGGATGCGCGGCGTTTGTGGTGACGTCATACTTGTTTCCTTGGTTTTGATTGGGGAGTTGTTACTGTTGCTAGTTCAGCTTTCGGTTTGCAATTTATTTGATCAGCAGTAGTTTGTTTTGGAATTTCTACCTTTCTGAGTGCCTGACCTGGTAGATGGCAAAGACTGCTTCCAATTACACGGGGGTATCTTTAGGCCATTGCTCCTCGTGCCTCTCTTGAGGGGGCCAGGTTCTGGCTCTGGTCCCCGGTAGGCTTAGAACTCCTTCAATTGACTGTTGCCATGGTCTAATATATACACATCAGCCCAGTATAGCTCCAGGGAGCCTCTGGGTTTCGTCCAGAAAATGGCGTTTCATTACATTCAACGCTGTTTTTCTGGGGGGAGCCCCGTCGGCTTCCCAGAGCTATCCCAGGCTGATATGCTAATGTCAGACTTTGGCATCAGTCGTGTATGGAGCTCTTAGGCCTACCAGGGACCACGGCCAGTACCGGGCCCCCTCAGAGAGGCAAGGGGAGCAATGGCCTATAGAAGCCCCCGTGTGGTTGGAAGCATTCTATGTCTGCCATCGACTGGAACAGGCACCCAGAAAGGTAAGCACCTCAAAACAAACCCCTATTCTGGTTAAAATTGCTACCAAAAGTCGAACTAGTGGATAGAACTCCCCAAAAGAAAACAAGCAAACTAGTGTGACGTCACACGCCGCCGCGCCGCTGTCTGCGCAGCTCCCCCCTTCCCGGGAGGGGGAAGGGGGAGCCCCAGACCCTCCACGCCGGCTACCCACACCTCAGTTCTTGAGGCTGATGCTATAGGCGAAGGTCGTGTGCTCTGGCTCCGGTGTCGCTACTGCACTGTGCTTTGCATGTGGTGTTTGTATTGGGGGTGCATCATGTTTTGTGTCCGGTTGCGGCGCTTCGCCGTTATTTGCGCGCCACGGCTTCTGTGTCCGGGGACGCGCTGTGGGTTGATCCGGTTTCCCTTCTTCCCTGTTTGCGGGTTCGGGTCTCCCAGGTCGTCCGCAGGGTTATTAAGTCCAGCCAGCCTGCGGTCTATCCCCGTGCCCATGACGTTCGTAAGTTCGCGGCTCTTGCTGCAGTCTTTGGGAATATGTCTTGGTCTGATATTCGGGCACAGGGATTTTGGCAGTCGAACAGGGTTCTGGCTGCTCGTTACCTTGTGAATGTCCCTGGGCCCCGTCAGGCCTGTGTTGCTTTGGGTCAGCGGTTGCAGCCAGTTGTCTCGGCTTCGAGTTGAGGAGTGAGCATCGACCGCCTCCCGGGTAAGTCCCTCTTTTTCCGTCTGTGGGTAGTTAGCTCCGGGGAGCCGACGGGGCTCCCCCCAGAAAACCAGCGTTGAATGTAATGAAACGCCATTTTCTAGGTGAGTCCCGGAGGCTCCCCGGCATCCCTCCCTCCTTCCGGTCGGCATTTTTTTCGCGTTTTTTGACATCCAGCCTCAAGAACTGAGGTGTGGGTAGCCGGCGTGGAGGGTCTGGGGCTCCCCCTTCCCCCTCCCGGGGAGGGGGGAGCTGTGCAGACAGCGGCGCGGCGGCGTGTGACGTCACACTAGTTTGCTTGTTTTCTTTTGGGGAGTTCTATCCACTAGTTCGGCTTTTGGTAGCAATTTTAACCAGAATAGGGGTTTATTTTGAGGCGCTTACCTTTCTGGGTGCCTGTTCCAGTCGATGGCAGACATAGAATGCTTCCAACCACACAGGGCTTCTATAGGCCATTGCTCCCCTTGCCTCTCTGAGGGGGCCCGGTTCTGGCCGTGGTCCCCGGTAGGCCTAAGAACTCCATACACATGACTGATGCCAAAGTCTGACATTAGCATATCAGCCTGGGATAGCTCCGGGAAGCCTCCAGGACTCCCCCAGAAAATGGCGTTTCATTACATTCAATGCTGGGTTTTTTTTAAATGCAGACTGTATTGTACTATCATTATGGAGCATTATTGTTTTTATTTTACTAATATTCCAGTCTTTCCATTTTATTTTTTGTTTTGTAGGAGCCAATTTAGATTTTTTGTACGTTTCCTAAAAAAAATATTTATGGCCTTCAGTGTAGTTGCAAGATATTTAGAAATTAAGACTTTTACAACTTGGTAAGCCATCCAGATGTGGCAGAAGTATTAACTTCTTGACTATCAGTGTTCAACGTGTCACAAGAGTATGTGAACTGTAAGTTGAGAATAGCTCAGCAGTGGGTAAGGAAATTTGTCAGGTTATTTAAGTTCCAAACTCACCAAAACTTTCCAAAATACAGAACAGTGCCATACTTAAAAATCCTTAATGCATTATCATTGTTTTCTGCCCTTTCCTCAATTTGTCTAAATACTCCTACCTAATTGAACTTGCCTTGTAACTCTAATTGTTTATTATGTGCATTAGTGAGTATCTCTAGGTTAGGTAGTCTCCATGGATGCCTATTCAGTATTGTCTACAAGGGGCATGTTATTGAATAGAGCAGCTGAAGCACTGCTGGGATTTTGTCAGTGTTACAAGGTGCAGTGGTTTTGATTAGTATTTTTAACCTGTGCATTGGGAATTAGCAAATACGGTATTCTTTTATAAATCAGTACAGCCATTTCAAAATCTGTTGTTTCATTATTACAATGGACTTTAGTGAGCTGTTGGCATTCTTGATCAGGAACCTTCCTTAATGCGAGTACAGTAGAGTCACTGTTTAGAGCAGGCATGGAGAACCTTCATTTAACTGAATATATTTGATATGGGGGAAAGGAAGCCTAGTAAAATCAGAATGGGTCCCCATTCCAACTATATACCCTTCCTTTGAATCTGTAAATAAATATATATACAGTACAGAATATCTTGTATAATGTTATATTCAGTTTTCAAAATATTGTATTAAAATTGTGCTTGCAGTGAGCTGCATCTTTCTGCTACGTGGCCATGTGTTAGTGAAGATGTATTGGTAGATAGTGATGTGTACAGTGACCTCAACCCCGGTTCGGCTCCTCTGTGGACGGCTCGCCTTGTGACCAACACATCTCCTCCGTGCCTGCTTTCTGAATATCTCACCGAGTTTCTCCACGTGTGTCGAAATAATCAATCTGTGTCTCAGATCTTGGGACCAGCTTTTACTCCAGAGGTGGAGGGTAGGTAGTGGTTTTTTTGGAGGTCATAGTAGTAAGAAAAATTTAAATTAAAGTAGATTACTGTAGTGTATACAAAAAAAAATGTCCTAGTCAAAGACAAGCTTATGCCAGATTCTTGATTTTTTTTCTGATTTAAGATACCTGTACTGTATACAGTACTGTATATTAATTGCACTCAAGACTAATATATAGATAGCTATTACAATTACTTTTTAATTACCAGATAGGTTTTTATTAGCCATTTGATAATTTCAAAAATGATAGAAATGTATATAGAAATATAAATGGTATAGTGTAAAAATCATAAATAAATGAGCTGTATGCAAGCGAGTATTGTGGGTGTCTACCATTAGGCCAAAAAGCTTAACAAAATTAAAAGTCATAGTTTATAAATTTACTTTTCCAAGTGAATTTGGTATCATAATATGTGCAAGTGTGCTATTTACACAATTATAAAAATTATTTGCTATAAATCAACAAATAATATACAGTAGTAGTAAACTTTGGGTGCAATTCACTGAAGCAAGAGTTCACTTGGAACTGACCTGCTGTCCTGGATTTTGAATAATTTGCTGTATTTTAGTACAAAAATAATTTTAAATTCCTCTGGACTCTTTAGTGTCCTATTTTTTATTAGTCTTTTCTGGGGGAGCCCCGTTGGCTCCCCGGAGCTATCTGGGCTGATTTGCTAATGTGTCAGACTTTGACATCAGTCATGTGTATGGAGTTCTGTGGGCCTACTAGGGCTTGGGCATGGTTCTGGGACCATGCGCCAGAACCTGGCCCGCCTCAGAAGAGGCACTTAGGAGGAGCCTCCTCGTTAGGAGGCACGAGGAGCAATGGCCTTTAGAAACTCCCGTGTGGTTGGAAGTTTGTCTGCCATTGACCGGGTTGGGCACCCAGAAAGGTAAGCGTCCCAAAACAACCCCCTATTCTCGTGAGAATTGCTACAAAAAGCCGAACAAAGGGATAGAACTCCCCAGAAACGAACAAACTAGTATGACGTCACATGTCACCACGCCACTGTCTGCACAGCTTCCCCCTCCCTGGGAGAGGGAAGGGGGAGCCCCAGATCCCCGCACTGGCAATCCACCTCTCAGTTCTGAGGCTGATGCTCTCGGCAACGGTCGTGTGCTCTGGCTCCAGTGGTTTTCAGCGCTGTGCCTTGTGTGTGGTGAATGTCCTCTAGGTGGTGTATGAGCCAGGAGTGATTCTCCAGTACTCAGGCTGTGTGCACCTAGGGCTTCCTTCCCTAGCCCTGTAAGTACTGTCCTTGGGGCCACCTTCCACAAGTTCTTTGGCTTCTGCCTCTGCTAGAATGTTTACTGCTTGGTTTTCGGCCGCCCTTTGTGTGCTAGGGTGTTCTGTCTCCCTTGTTCGCCTTAGGGTAGGGGGCAGTTTGCACTGGTAGGGGTGCAGGGTACTGCACAGCTTGTTTTCACCAATCATAGCGGCCGGCTCTGTTCCGCCTGGGCACGCTGTCCTCTTGTGTGAGGTTTTCTTTTTCTTTTTGTTTGCCTTCCTGGTGGGGGGTCTGCCTTGGTTCTTGCCCCCTGTGTACTGAGTATTCTTCCTTCTTCCGGTGGTTCCCCCTGCTAAGTGAGTGTACACGTCCCGGGGGTTCAGTTCTTAGAAAGTTGTTCGGTCGACTTGGGCGTCGGTTAGCAGTACCCTGCCTGGGCTTCCCTGAGCGTGAGTTCCATCTCAGGACCCTGGGAATCCCCACGGGGAGACATGGGTTCGATGGATGTGACCCCGGAGTCCTCCGCCTTGATTGCGAGTTCGAGAGTTGCTCTGTTCCCTTGTCTCAGGGTGACTCACTGTTTTGCCTCCTTCTGCTGCCTGTGGGGTAGGTGGCACCTTCGGCCCGGAGTCCTGCAAGTTATGTTGCTTGTTTGGGGCTCTGTTACCCGGTCTTACGCTGACTATGCGGGTGCAGGCAGCACGGATGTTGCACATCGAGTTCAATTGATGGCGACGCTTTGGGTTGTTTGCTCCCTGGAAGCCCCGAGGCTGCCCCATTTTTGGTTGTTGTGACGGGGTAAGGGGTATTGGTTGCTTCGGGTTTGTTTTCATCTGCGCCCCACTTGTTTTTCCCCTGTTGTGGTCTAGTCTGGTCTTCCCCCCTTCCTCCCTGCATCCAGATCCTCACCGTCTGTGGGTTCGGGGTTGGGGTGGGGCTTCAATGGTCCTGAGACTCGGGCGGTCTCTGGGAATTCCCCTTCCAGGGAAGTGACAGGCATTCGAGCCTGTTCCTCCAGCCGTGTTGTATGAGTCTGCCAGTGGGCTCCCTTCCTTAGTACTTTTCTGGCTGCCCCGGCTTTTCTTGTAAGGCTGGGGCTTTGGGGGGATGGCTCGGCCCCGGGGCCTGACGTGTGGGTTCCCAGGGCTGGGGAGGGGCCGACTTGGGGAGCCTCGGCCCCCGTTGGACCCCGCCGGGGTTTTCTTCCGTATGAGCGGGGCTTGCGGTTACATGAAATGAGGTTGTCCTTTTCCCTCTCTACGTATGAGTTGTTGGGCGTCGGCCCTGCATCGGGTTTGGTTCCTTGTCCCTTGGGTCTGTCAGTTCTGTCCTGTTGGTGGGTACTCTTCTCCGTTTACTCACCCTTCTTCTTTGGGACAGGGTTTCTCCATCATGTTCTCCTCTTCTCGGGGTTCTATATGACTTTTGGTCTCGAGTGCGACTGTGCCTTTATGTGCCTTCGTGATTTGTGCTTGCTTCTGTGTGTTCTCGAAGCTGCTCGTTTTCTTTAAATACTCCTCGTTAGCGCTTTCCTGCCGAGTGGGCTGTGCGGTTCGGACCTTGTGTCCTGCGCATGCGCCGTGGGAGTTTGTTTTGGTAATGGGCGGTGTACACATGTGCTGGTGTTCCGTGTCCTTTTTCTCTCGGGTGCTTCGCCTCTTGTTCCTCTCATCTCTCCAGTGCATGCCCCATAGCTACTGGGGGTGTTCTGGCTTGCCTCTATGGGGAGGATGCAGGGCTTTCCCCTGCATGTGAGTGGGGGGGGGGGGGGGGCGCCTCATTCGCCTCTACTCTCCTCTTCTCCTGCATGTGCTGCTCTGGCCTTCTTCCAATGGCGGTGCTTCTGAAATCTTCTCGGCTATGTTGTGTTGTGACGTGTTCGTGCCTACATTCTGCAGGTGAGTTTATGAGGTCTGCCGTCTACTTCGGCTAGGCGCTGGTTCATGGGTTTTGGTTACGAATGTAAGACCATACTTACACAGATGATTGTAGATGGCCTATTGGCCCATACGAGGCAGCTCCTATTTATACCCATCCAGTCCCACTCATATACATGTCCAAACCATGCTTGAGTCAATCAAGGGGCTCCGCCTCAGCCATGTTACGAGGTACTATGGTGGATGTAACTGTTATGAGGTAAATGTTACCCTCTCAGGATGTTATGAGGTGACATTTTGCTGCAGTTTTGATTCTGGGGATGTGTGTTGGGGATTGGTTGTGGCATTTTGTTTGGCCCTTCTGTGATTCTTCCTGGGGCCTAACTTGTTTGTCTGTGTTTTGTTACACGGTGGGTCACAGCCCCGTTTTTCATGGTACTATCTGGGTCACTCCTTCCCTGCCCGTCTTGCAGTGCCTGGCTTAGCCCTTCCATGTACATTGGATTCTCTGTACTCACCTAGTTGTCCTCACCTAGTTGTGCTTGCGGGGTTTGAGCTTTGACTCTTTAGTCCGGCCTGTCACCTGTCATTCACCTGACATCTACGTGGCCTCTGTGCTTACATAGTTGTACTTGCCTAGTTGTGCTTGCAGGGGTTGAGCTCTGGCTCTTTGGTCCCCGCCTCTCAACTCTCAATCGACAAATGTTCAGCTTCTTGTGCCTACTGGGCTCTCATATCTACGCTTGATGCTGTGTATGGAGTCAGCCTCCACCACATCGCTTCCTCATGCGTGCCATTTGTCTTCTACGCTGACACTGAAATACTTCTTTCTAATGTCTCTGACTCATTTGGGCACTCAATTTCCACCTGTGTCCCATAGTGAGTGTGCCCCTTGTTTTAACTAGTCTGCCTTTATCTACCCTATCGATTCCTCTAAGAATCTTGCATGTGGTGATCATTTCCCCTCTTGTTTTTCTGTCTCCCAGTGCGTGGGGTTTACTTCCCGTAGTCTCTCCTCGTAGCTCTTACCCCTCGGATCAGGTGCTAGTCTGGTGGCAATCCTTTGCACTTTTTCCAGTTTGGTCTTGTTGTGTTGGGACATGACCGGCAGCTGTGTGTGTTGTTGGTCGGGTCCCTTTCATTCCCGTTTGCTGCCTGCCTGCCTTCTTCCTCATCCGCCTTCTACACTTTTGTCTCTAGCTGTTGGTGCTGGAGCTGCTGTTCTGGTCTTTTTCTTGCGTTTTTTCCGTTTTTCTCATTTTTCTCCTACACATTGGTGTGTGTTTTGTATGTGCCTTTCGGCTCTCTTATTGCCAGGTTTGGGTTCCTGGTTTCCTGGCTTATCCCGCAAGTTCGGGATAAGCCAATTTTCGAGGTTCCGTGATGTCCCTTCTCTCGAGTCTCGCATCGGTTCCATAGTCTCCGATTCCTGGCAAGCTCACTGGTGTTGGGGAGTTTTTCTGTATGGCAGACGTTCCATCTCCTTCCTTGTCGGCTTGGATTTCCAGCTCTGCTTGCTCAGTGATCACACCTGAAATCTTCCCATGGCTCCACCTCTTTCTAGGCTTGATCGGTACATGGCGAGGCTGATTCGGTTCTACCTCGAGTCTTTCACCATCTGTTGGTGGTCCGGTGGCTTCGTTGTTGGTGGTCCGGTGGCTTCGTTGTTGGTGTCCCACCTGCGTGCTTCTTCTTGGCAGCGGTGTAGGGATTTTTGGCAGTTCTTCCTTTTTCTTTCTGTCCCTTCTTAGGTTTGCTGCATTTTGTTGGCGTGGTCGGTGCCTGCTTTTGTGGAGGTTCGGGGCCGTCATCTTGCCACATACTGTCGCATTGTTTTGTGTGGTGCTGGTGGAACCGCTCCTGGTTGCTTCGGTTTTGGA